CGGTGGCTGGATCCCTTGGGTTGCGCCTTTCCTGCGGAGCTGCCCGATGCCCCACCAGCTGGGCAGCTCCTAGTCGCTCACTATTCTAATCACTGTCCAGGGGCGGCAGACAGACCAGGAGACACCAGCTGGCAGGGAACGGTCACCAGTTCGCATAGCCGCCTCTTCTGGGTCCCCTAACAACCAAGCAGCAGGACAGCGTTTCAGGAACGGCACTGTAGACGGGGACAAGCCAATCCCTCCTCCCCTCCCTGCACACTTTCCGAGATGACGCTCAAACGAGGGACCTAGGAAAGACCTGCCCCTTCCCCAGACACGCCGCAGCCGGAGAGCCTTCCCCAGACAGCGTGTCTGAGCAGGGAGCAGCCGGTTCTGCCAGCCCTGGGAGCCCGGCCCAGACCTGCTCACGTGCTCACCATGGCTCTTCTGCCATGTGTGGCTTCCCGGCCAGAAGTCTGGGCTCCGCGCTCACAGCGAACTGCAGCGTCACTGTGAGGCGTCTATGCTCGGCCAGGCGGGCCCCACCGTGGCGGAGACAGCTGTGTGGTCTACACGCAGACCCTGCCTGCAAGCCTCCACTGTGGACAGCACTTAGTACCTGGAAGCGCTGTCACTGTACGGTGGCAGTTTGCAGTGCCACGTGCAGTGTGAGGTTGTGTGCGCTGGACCCGCCGAGTGACAGACGGTGCCCACGGCCCTTCACCCACCTGAATGGTGCTCACCCGCTGCTGCAGGAGGGCCGCGTCTCTCTGCTCCTGCAGGGCAGCAGGACTGGGCCCACAGCAACGCCCTCCCGGGAAGGGCACTCCCTGCTCAATCCCAGGCGCATTCAGGGTGCCTCACAGCACAGAGACACCGCCCTCCTCCGACTCCCGGTGGGCTGGGCTTTGGTGTTCCTGACAGTCCCCTGCCATGGCCTCCTCCGGGCCTCCCACGCAGCCCTGCCCCTGCTACCGCTCACCAGCCACGCCCGTCCCCGCGGTGGCCAGCGGCCAGCTCTGAGTGGCCCTGTTTCCTGTGCAGCTGTGCCCCACCCATCACAGGCTTCCTGAGCCGTCCCAAGGAGCACGGGCCTCAGTGGCGCTCCCTCACCTGCTTTGCCTGGGAGGCCAGCGTCTGTAACCCAGCTGCTCGGGAAGCTGGGCCTCCAGGGCTCGAGGCCAGCCTGGCCAGCCTGGGGAGACCTGTCTTTACAGGCAGAACAAAGCAAAGCCCAAGAAGAGGAAGTGTGTGATTTTACTGAGTGAACACCGAGCCAGGGTGGAGCAGTCAACACCCTCGTTACTAGGAGCTGGCGGGACAGCCTGGTGGCACAGTCGGAGACCCTGAGGACCCGGGCCATGCAACCAGACTGTCTAGGGAGGGACGGTCCCGTCTCTTACTGCCGTCAGAAAGACTGAGAATGCTTTAACATGTTGACGGTCTATGTGAATGCGCAATCAGTCGTTGGTTTTGACCAAAGTAAACTGAATTTCTCTGTCTATGCTCACACTCGGCAGTCCCTGAAGTCTACCCGAAGCTGCTTGTATGAGCGAGTCTGCCAACAGCCAGGCGGTGCCTCCACTCGCAGTTCACAAACCACTTCTGGAGAAAGCACAGAGCCTGCTCCAGAGTCTCCCAGAGGGCTCCGGGCCAACCTGGGTAGGGTCTGTGCTCGCAGACGCGGTCCTGTGCACGTGGCTCCCTGCGTGAGTGCCCTGGTCATGGACCGCCCTGCTAGGGCCCTCCGCTGTCACTACAGCTGCCCCGCTCCCCAGGAGTGCTCTTTTCCCCCTCCACCCAGTCCCCTGGGGCCACAGCCACGCAGCGCCTGCTGTAACGAGGTGTAGACAGGGCTCCCGCGTGTAGAGCATGACAGTTCCCCTGCAGCTACTCCAGGGAGACCACATCTGAGTGTCCAGTGAGGAAGAAACTCCGGGCTAACCCAGGGCAATGCTCCATTCCCATCGGCAAGTTAGTGCCCTGGTCCCAGACACCACCAGTCCCTTACAGGTGTCTGCTGCCTCGATCTGGCCACAGCTGACTGGCCGGGCGCCCGCGCTGGCTGGGTGAGCAGGGCATGGGGGGCGGAGCAGTGCCCGTCGGGGCAGCACAGAGGGCAGCGTGCTCAGGCGTCCACAGTCACTGCCTCCAGCCAACACCAGCAATGCTGCCCGGGCAGAGGAGCCTTCTCGCTGCCGGCCTGTGTGACCTGAGCAGGAAGGGGCTGAGCTCAGGGCAATCCAACCCTTCGCCCGTGTAAGGAAGGGGACAGTCCACTGTACTCTGGCCTTGTCACAGGGACAGAGACAGTCCACTGCACTCTGGCCTTCTTAC